AAGTTGGGTACATGAAATCGAAACAAGAACCAACACTTGGAAATATTTTTAGATGTTGAATCGACTTTAAATTCTCGACGTGTGGGCTATTTTTGAACATGTTGTGCACATTTTCATGACTTGGCTTCTAAACAAAGTTTGTTCCTTATAAATTTTGCTACAACTTTACTTTAGGGTTGCTTAGACATGCAAACATCCTAAGCTACACTTTTTTAAACAGTCAAACGTAGGAGCTCTAGGGGTCCAAATTGGTCAAACCATGACTTGGAAACCTAATTAGGCAAAATGATCAACATGAACCTTGTCCCTAATGACATTCTAAGTATAACTAAGTTGTTTAAGAGAATTATTAGTCACACCACACATTGGTCACACAAGAATCAAGCAAGGTATGTACTGAAACAATGCAAAACACATGAATTGTTACAATTGTTTCATAGTCATGTTTCACATGTTTCATGACATTGTTGCATAGTATTAACTAACTTTGTTTCACTTAAGTGAGTGGCATATGTTGCATAAGTGTTGCACACTTACATTTCATAAAAGAAACAACACACATGAAATATACAACATGTTGCAATGTTTCGAAATCATGTTTCATGTGATATAAGTTCACGAATGGATGCATGATGCTCATGTTCATGAAATGCAGTGCAAATGTGGAAGCCAAACACCTGGGTGTTACAATATGGCTCGAGGTGTAGGAGGAAAACTCGATCCATGTTGGTAAACAAAGTCTTAGTAGCCACTAGGGCGTAGGATTCTCACTGTCCACCAACCTTGCTTAGTCGTTCATTTTCGCAGACCTTGCTACTAGGTTTTAACATGAGGAAGGGTGTCGGGCGCAGTGACTGCTTTAGAAATGGTGTATGTATACCCTTATCAGCCCCCAAGTGAGACTCGACCCCTTGCCGTTGCTTGGGTCGGGTGTCACTAAAAATCGGGGAGAGGATAGCAAAACTAGTAGCAGAAAGCGTCTCTTGTTTTCGTGCGTGCCATCTCCCTAGGATCTGAGCCATGCGTTCTACAACCGCATTCGGTCTCCTTGCAGTCCAACTTTCCTCGAGCCCCTGCGTTTAGTAGGGGTCTAGTCGAGGGTCAGCTCTTCTTTGTGATTGTCACCCCGTCCATGGTTTCCAAAAACTAGAGGGGTTGAGCTAACGTCACTTGCCTCGATGGCTCGAGTGGCGTGTTTTCGGTGAAACTCACTATCGGGCATGTTCGAGTGGAATCTAGGTCCATCATTTGTGGCAGGTCAACATAGCCCTCATATGGCATTCCACTTGCTCCTTAACTCACCTCCTTTGGTAGATGCCCGTGTCGCTCTGTAGAGAGCGACTCGGTGTTCATTGACCTCTCCTTGATGGAGATTCTGTGGGCTCGGCTCGAGTTAGGGATCGAGCGAAAAGGTTGAGATGACCTCGTCCATTTCTAAGTGGGTCGAGCAAAGGCATTTGAGGGCTCATCTCTGCATTTTTCCCCCGCCTACCTTGGCGTGGAGTGGCCTCGGGCCCTTCACGGGCCATCCTTCAACCTCGGTCGGTGGATTCCTGAGTTTGGGTTGAGTGGCTCGAGCCCTTGGGCCCCGTGGGGCTCGGTAGGGGTTGGCTGATTTCATCGTCACCCCATCCTTGGTTTCCACAACCGGAGGGGCTGAGCTAACGACACTTGTCTCGATGGCTCGAAAGCGTCACGCTCGGTGAGCTTCGCTTAACAGCACATCCGAGTGGAATCCATGTCCGTCATTCATCTGGCGGGGTGCAGCATAGCCCTCATATGGCATTCTCATCGCTTCCTTAACCCACCTCTCGGTAGATGCTCGAGCCGTTCGATTGGCTTGGGTGGCCCACCGCCTCTCCTCAATAGAGATTTTGTGGGCTTGGCTTGAGGTTAGGATCGAACGAGAAAGGTCGAGATGTCCCTGTTCGCTTCTGAGTGAGGTCGAGCAAGGGCTGCTGGGGCTCACCTCGGTTTTCTCCCACTGGCTGCTTTGGCGTGAACGGCCTCGAGCCCTTCAGCGGCTAGCCTTGAACCTCGGTCGATTACCGCTCATGTCGAATGAGACGACTACCGCTTAAGTGATCGACGCGAAAAGCATTGTGATGCAATAATTGCATATGTAATGCTTGGATGTATGAGATGAATGTATGAATGCATGCATGAGAATGGATGAATGAATGCTCACATACTAGAAAAGTAAAGTGGGGGTTGGTAAAGTTACCTCGATGGTTCGAGTGACGGGTTCGTGGGGAGCCCTTACTAGATATATCTATGTGGAGTCCAGTCCGTTGTTGTTGACCTGAGTTAAGTGTGACCTACATGGGACATCCCATTGCTCCCTACCCATCTCTCGACAAATGCCGAAGCCATTCGATCGACTTTGGGTGACCTGCACGCCTCTTCTCAATGGAGATTCATTGGTGGGTCCTCCAAATCCTTCCAAGGAAGGCGGAGGCTAAAGCTTGAGGTGCGAGGGACAAAAACTCGATCCTGGTGGTGGCTGAAACGCCGTAGTCACACTAGGGTGTAGGTTTCTAGCGGTCCGACCAGATTTTACTCGAGTTTGTTTCCACACCTTGCCTCTAGGTTTTAGTGCAAGAAAGGGGTTGGGCATAGAGAATGTCTACCGAATAGACACTCTTGCCAGACCCTCGAGCAAGACGACCCATTGCCATTCTTTGGGGTTGGGGGCTCGATAGCGAAATTAATGCACGTAAAGTAAGGGCGACCTGTCTCGGCAGCTGACTGACCTATCCGATCAACTTTGGGCGACTGCTGGCCTCTCCTCGATGGAGATTCCACCGGTGGGTCCCTCCAAATCCTTCTAGGGAAGGCAGAGGCTAAAGCTCGGGATGCGAGGACAAAACTCGATCATCTTTGGTGAGCGAAAATGCCGTGAGTCACCCGAGGCGTAGGTTTCTAGCCGGTCCCACTAGTTTTACTCGAGAGTTTGTTTGCGCACACCTTGCTTCTAGTTTTTAATGTGAGAAGGGTTGCATAAAGAATGTCTAGCAAATAGATACTCTTGCTAGCCCCCGAGCGGGGCCTAACCCCTTGCCGTTGCTAGGGTCAGGGGCTTGATAGAGAAATTGATAAGAGAAAACATATGCAAATTAAGGGCGACCTACCGACGCAGGACCTACCTTGATGGCATGAGTGATGAGTTCGAGGAGCTCTTACCGGACATGTTCGAGTGGAGTTTGGGTCCGTTGTTCGTGACGGGTCGGCATAACCAGCGTGGGGCATCTTGCAGCCTCTCACCCGTCTCTCGGCAGCGGCGAAGCCATCCGATTGACTTGTGTTATCCTCTAGGATAGGATTTACCTATGGAGATAGGGGATGAGAACATCCCGCCTAAAAACTTAAGCGAGATAAGCCGGTGACGAACTAGTAATAAATGGACAAGCTCTTAGATTTCGTTATGGCCAAATAGTTTTTAGCCCCTCTCCCCTTTCATATAAAGGTTGGTGCACTCGACCCTTTCCACCATTAAGACCGTAAATCTCAAAGTGCGGGTGAACAAATTGATCACGTTGGTGAGCAAAGGCGCCATAGCCACCGAGGCGTGGGTTTCTCATAGTTCGACCCGCTTTTACTCGAGGTTTGTTTCTGTATCCTAGCTTCTAGGTCTCAATGGGAGAGGGGTCAGGCACAAAGAATGTTTGCTAGGTGGATATACTCTTAGGCCTACACCAACCTCTTCTTGTAGCTAAGGCCAAAAAAGCCGGGAGTGCGAAAAAACTACGATAACGTTGGTGAGCAAAGGCGCCAGAGCCGAGGCATAGGTTTCTCACGATCCGACCAGTTTGACTTCCGGCGTTTGTTTTCGCAAACCTCGCTTCGGTCTTAACATGAGAGAAAGGTCGCATAGAGAATGCCTACACGATAGGTACACTCTTATTAGCCCCCGAGTGAGGCCCGACCCCCATCGTTCTTTGGGGTCGGGGTCACTAAAGGTCGGGAATTTGATAGTGAAACCCGATAAGAGAAAGTGTGCGTTTATTAAGGGTAAAAGCGACATAGCTGCTCAATGTTCCGGTGTATTGATGAAGATCTCACTTGTCGATGGTCTTGAGCTTGTAAGCGCTTGGTCGAAGCGTCTCTATGACAACGTACGGTCCCTCCCATGTTGGAGAGAGCTTGTGGCGGTCCTTGTTGCTCTAGAAGAGGCGGCGCACCAGGTCTCCGACATTGAAGGCTCGACCATGCACTCGACGGCCGTGGTGCCGGTGCAACGCTTCTTCAGTACTTGGCCGAGTGGAGGAGGCGACATCGCGTGCTTCATCTAGCTGTCTCCTTCATATGCTCCTTGTTAAAGCCCCAGATAAGAACCACTTTAAGAGGCCACAGGTCCTTGTATAGGTGCTCGACAGGAAAAAGCATGGTTTGGGCATGGCCCTTGAGCGACCTCTCAAAGTGGTTGAGGGGGTACCCTCGGCGGGCTTCTAGCCTCCCCTCACGATCGGCCAGGGCCACAAGCGAGCCCTCGCGCCGCTATTTGTTCTTCTTCTTCTTGTTGGGACGGTTGGGCGCCTTGCTGGCATCCTCATCCTGCTTCACCTTGCCCTTGAGGTTCGCGTCGGCCAAAGGCTGAGGTCCCGATAAGTCGAGGCTCGGGCTTGGTCCTCGCTGCTATCATAGCGTCCACCACGACATGGGTGGTAGCTGCGGCTAGCCCCCTCCCTTGCATCACCGTAGGTATGACTGTGGGCGTCGAGGGTGTCACGTGCGTCACGGTGGAGGCCGAGACGCTAATGCACCGGAACCGCGGTGCGCGGCCTGTTCACTGGTTGCGCTTGGTCGACCGATGTGTCCTCGTCGAGTTGTTCGAGGCGCATTCGCTGGCTTTGGCGTCGAGGTGTCGCAGCGTCACGGTG